TCTCTTCCAATCAAATTGATTCTGTGATTTGAGAGATTTCTAGAGCTTCTCAAAAATGCATGTCACAAAAAGCATCTGTACAAGTACCTAGCCATATATATGGTTTCCTCTCGATAGAGGTCAGGGGATAGTAGTGGCTGCTCTGTGCTGTGTTTTCCTTTTGCTCCTGCCTTAGCATTCCCCTCATATACTTCTTACAAGGTTCCCCCTCCAACGTTAGCCGTTAAAAACCTTTGCCATGCAGGATCATTTGTGAATATGGGGAGCAGTGGAGCTGGAGATAAATATACCCCTTCTCTGATTCAGTTCCAAAATATCATGCTGTGACAACCCGTAACTAGGAAGTCTGAGACCTATCTAGAAAATGCTAATGATACTGTAATGAAGAACATTTCTTTCACATGGTCCTTTCAAGTGCAGATAGGAAGAATTATAAGAATTCACGTTTAAATTGTTAAAAGGAACCCTCTGATACTTGCTAAAATCCCAAATCCCCAAATTCTGCCAGCTGATGGTTTTTTTCCCTCAGCTACAAGCTTAATGTTCTTTCAATATCAGGCAGGTGATGTCCCAGTGGCTTTGGTCTGAGATTTATACAGATCTGTAACATAAGTCCAAGATGTAATAATCTAACTTCAAACAAAATCCCCAGTACTTTAGCAAAAAAAAAATTTAAAAAAAAATCAGAATTTGACTAAATCTAGTAACAATCTTGGAACTGGTGGTTCCCAATAGTTAATCATGAAAGTGCCTCTACTCTTCTAGCACATGTAAAGGAGCTAAAAGAAATGTAAGTTATAGTACAAATTGCAGTTGGAGAGGTGTTAGTGGGCACAAAACACACTCTTCATGCTTCTCCAGCAGTGTTCAGAAAAATTAAAAGAAAAAACAACAAACCATCAGTGGTTCAGTCTACAGCCATTTTTTAGCACACAGGAAGGTGCTACATAATAACTATTACTTCTGTAGATTCTCCTGGAATCTGTTCCTGTACTGAAACTAGAGAAAGCACAGCTTTAACACCTGCAATACTGGCCAAAGTGCTAAATAATTAGAGATTGGTGCTTTTTATCCCATCAGGAGAGGGGAAAAAAAGGAAGGGGGCGGGGGGAAGGAAGGGGAAAAGGCAGGGGAAAAGAGGGGGGAAAGGAAAGGAGGGGGACACACAGAATCAAGAAGGCGGCAGCAGGCCAAAGGTTGTTATTTCCTGGGTCTTAACACTTCTTAAAGCTTGGGAATTGCCTGAAGGGAAGGAGGGTGTCTGTAAAGGCATGGTCATGCTTCCCTCAAGACCCCATGCCACAAGACGGATGGGGTTTTGAGCTTTGTACAGGGCAGAAGGCAAAAGCAAGTGAAACACAGGCAGAGCAAAGCATTTACAGAGGAGAGGAAAAGAAGGAAGGTAGAAGATCAGAAGTGGCAAAACAGCATGAAGACATATAAAGTCTGAAAAAGCGACATGCAAAGAGAATGAGAGTGAAACAGGAAAAAAACCCTGACTGCTATCAGTTTTGGTGCTTAAAACACAAATTGGTGAAAAGTCCTATTTTTTTCCTTGCTATATATCTATATAGCAAGAGAGAGAGGGAGAAGCCAGAATGGAATCAAAACATGAAGACTGTCTTGGAGATCAAGAATTGCAGCTAAGAACAACACTAAGAAAAGAGCAAGCTAGAACCTTGAATATGCTTGTGAAGAATGGAAAGGTTCGGGGGGAGGTTCAGGCTAGAAATGAGGAGGCATTTCTTCACAGCAAGGGTCGTTAGGCATTGGCATGGGCTGTCCAGGGAGGTGGTGGAGTCCCCATCCCTGGAGGGGTTTAAGAAAGCCTGGACGTGGCACTTGGTGCCATGGTCTAGTTGACACGGTGGTGTTAGGGCAAAGGTTGGACTTGATGATCCCAGAGATCTCTTCCAACCAAATCAATTCTGTGAAAGCTATGCAGCTCGGTGGAACCAGCTCTGACACCACTAATTCAAACCAGCCATAGCTCTGACATGACTGTATTTCTCACAGGACTCCCTTTGTGGTGCTTTACCGTGCTAAACAGTTGTGTTGTTGTTTAAAGGTAGCTGGGAAATGTCAAACATGGTACTGCTTTGCGTTAGTCTCACAATTTTCATAACCTTGCAGTTTTGATGACAGATTCTAACACTGTAGCAGACTCAAATTTCTTGTCGTTTAATTGAGATGCAGTTTTATCAAATTTAACACTGTTGAGTGAACACCGAATCTTGCAGCCTTTGAGACAACGGGACACAACGTTAGTCAACTTGACATTTTCAATGGAAAAGGAACAACCAGCAGACTCAAGTATTTCATAAGACTATTAGGAGAAAGAGGAAGATCAAGCTGGGCTGAAAAAAAAAATCCTTCCTTTCTTTTTACTACGGTTTCAAAATTCCACAGAACTTTGTGGAAATACAGCATCCCAAACATTTAAGGTTCTCCTATGGCTATTCAGAGATTACAATCATGAGGAACAACTTTTGGGAATAAATCCAGTGTTAGATATTTCTTAATTGTATGTATTATTTCTTACCAGATTTTTTCCAGAAAATAGCTTTCCTTAAAAACTTGGAGAAGAGAAAGAAGGATCTAGAAAAATACGATTCTTCAGGGTAATAAATTTTTTTGTTAGTAAATTTTTATATATATATACACATATCTATCTTAAAAGTAGACTGACAGGAGACAAAAGTAAATTTGCTGGGTGACCAGAAGTCGCTCCTGACCTAAAAGGGCAGGGGGGAGGGAATATATTATAATAACATAGGTACAATTAACTATTTTGTTAAAAATCCCCAAATAAACCACTAAAGAACACAAGGTAATCGTGAATCGACTCATCACTGGAGTAAGTTTATGGTACTATCTGCAGCAAAACAGTTGTTTCAATAAAGCTATACATATTTAACATCACCTCACCCAAAACTGTGATATAGGTATAATTAAAACTATTACTGATACAGTACTTTCTGTCCTCAATTTATACAGGGGAGCTGCACCTGTACAGAGAGAGAAATCAGTAAGAAACTGTCTTATGACAGATTTTTAATAAACAGAAAACAAATTGCTTACCTCTTGGTACCTAGCAACTCCACCATTAACTGCTGCATCAATGACCCCATTTAGACACATTGTGAGAGGGTTAATATTTTGCATCTGTCGAGTTTGACACTGGCTAATCAGTGTTCTCAGCTGCTGGTTCTTATTTTCTAAGACTTCAATAGCGTTCTCAAGGGGACTCATTTCCACCTGAAAGGGGAGTGAGGAACATTGCAAACATACTTCATCTTCAGTTGAAAGATGAACTATATTAAAGGTTGTTTTCTGATTTCTTAAAAGAAAACAATGTTATTCTATGTTCTAGAGTATTGGGGCAGAAAAAGTTCTTCTCACCTGGGCTATGCTCTCTAAGTGTACACTCTGAGCACAGAGACAATTAATTTTATCACATAACCAAGGACCAAAATAACCGTCCCTCTCTTGTCGATTCATTATCTGACCTTGAGAGATTACTCAGCCCTTGCTGCAAAACTCTCACAGGCTTCAACCTGCGGTGGAACTCTTGGAATTCAGGGCTAAACTGTCCTTGGTATCTTTACCTAAGTTGGGCTTGAGGTTAGGGAGAGCTTCACTGGGCTTAAGGGCACAGAGCAGAGCTTAAGTACGGGTGAGTTAGTTCCCTCACCCAAAGTGAAGTCAACAACGAGATGTTGTGGATGAGGAGTTTGAATGTAAGCTTTGAGCTAAGACGAGAATCAAGTTATAGTCGAGTCCTTGAGCGGGATGGGCCTGTCCTCTCTAGAGGGTGAGCAAGCTTTTCGCGCAGGTAGCATGAACTGCAGGAAAAACGAAAAGCTATGTGATGGGAAGAGGACAGGCTTGCAGTTGCTATAATTTACCAAAATGTACAAGCACAAATCTGAGTCATGATCTAGTACACGCCCAGGAAAAATTATTACAGTTAACTTTGGAAATGGTGACTATAATGGCAACACAATAGTAAACTGAGGATCTTCATATCAGGGGTCGTGTTAACCTAGTAAGGACTCAACAGGGAGTCAATTATCAAAATTTCTTACGTCACTCACAATTTTTTGATTTTTACTAAATTCCATTTTTGATTTTCTACAGGAGAATATCAGGAAGGTGAACAAATGACATTTTGTTGCTATTATAAAAGAAAAACACAATAGGGTTTTAGAGAAAATCAGTTGTACAACGGTATCTCTATATTTAATGGGACTATTGTAAGACTGGCTTTGTCAGGAAGGAAAATAGTTATAGATGTTATACTCCTGGGCTCAACAATTGACCAATTATTTTGAGTTCTTTATAAGAGGAGCACTCCTGCAAATACATTTGAAATGTATTTAAGGATTTTCTAAGAAATATAACAAGAAGGAAGGAGAATAAATTACAATGTGTCAGGAAGAGATTGCCACATTAGACCCTATTCCTACAGGTTCTGCGTAGGCATACTTCCCCACCCACGCTGAGAACTGGGAACTTCAATGGAGCTCTAGGCAGACACAGAGATGGCGTTTATTATAGTACAGGAACTTGGAGAATGTTTACTTTTCAAGAGCACTGAAAGATATGTTAAGCTATAGATATTCTAAGGATTAAATGTTACATCATGCTGAGTTTTAAGAAGTAATTTGCTGACATTAAATGTTGCCTTTGGCTGCCCATTATTGTTCTCAACTTCTTTTTTCCTCAATTGTTTAAGTGAATCGTAAGGGTGGTTCCTAATATTTTTCAAGATTAGAGAAACCAGACAACTCAAAATACTTTGTAAATAAATTTGTTGTAGCCAGTTTGAGAACTTGCTTGATCAAATTAGATATGGGTAATAAATTAGTTCATCAAATGACATATAAGTAAGGAAGTAAACTAACCCACGATATGTATTGCCATCAGTCTCATACTCACTACTTCACGTTTTTCCACTTCAAACCAACGAGATATTCCAGGTAAACTCTGCACCAGGATCAGCGTGGTTCTCTCCACCCACAGACTCTACAATATACAAAACCAACTTACTTCCCTAATTTGCCTCTATGTTTTTCTTAATTATTCCTAGTCTTCTTTAGGAATACCTTTGTTTAAGTAACAGTATATGTTTCAAAAAAAAAAAAAAAGTATTAACATCCAAATTTCTACTGAAATGTCTATCCCAGAAAACTGACATTCACTTTTTTCCTTACTTTCTAGGACCTACTACTAAGCAGTAATTTCTGCTGATTCTTCACTCTTAAACATGGCATTATTCCACATTGTATGGTGTTCCCTAATCTCCAAAAGTCACTCACAACTAAATTAGCACTTTAATATTTCCCTTCTGAGAGAATATCTGAGAAGAGGGCGAGTTCAGAAGCAGAACTCAGAGATCACTCCGAGTGACCAGCTCTCCTCTGTGAAGTCCTGTTTGAGGTTCCGCAAAGCATGTCTCATGGGATACTCAAACGTTAAACGCTTTGTGCAAGAGGTTTGTAAAATGACAAATTAACACATAGGATAGAACTTATACAAAATATGTATATAAGCTGTACAAATAAAATAAAGCCCTAAGCTTTAATTAGAGGACAATAGTGACTTAATTTAGCTAATTTATTACCCTTACAGTTCTTTTCTCTGACTTTCTAACAAACATATTACGGGACAATTCTCTTTGTGTGTCTGAATACCAGAATATATTCTGTGTCGAGATGTGTTTCTAGTGGGTCAGAATTAAAATTACACCAGAATAACATAAGATGAATTTTCAGTGTGACATTTTGATTAGGAAGAACAAAAGTCATTTACATATTAGGGAAGGAAGTACTGCTCTTCCCTGAGACTATCTCTATGTTCAGAGGTAGTTTTTAGTCGATATCACAGGAACAGAACATTATGCTGCAGTTTAGTCAAAACTGTCTCTCCCTTGCTCTAGGGAGAGATAACTTTTGGCAATCCTATCCACACCCCAGATTACCTATTTAACAGTGTTTTCCCATCTGCCTAATAAACTCCTCCAGAGGCTCCTCTGCTGTCTCCAGTTCTGCCTTCTATATATCACTGATGCAAAAACAAATGGGTACTTTTTTCTCTCCTATTCCCATATTCAACAAGACCTTCCCATCTCCCATATATTCTTCCTATTATTTTAATTAAAATGAGAAATTAAATAGTCAAACCTGAGCTCCTCTCTCCTCTAGAGAATTTGTTATACCACACTCGGTTAAACAACACAGCTGTAGATGATGTTTCAGCAACCCAGCTATCGTTGATTTTACAGATAAATCCATAGGTCCAGTAGCTCAGGAAAGGGCATGGTACTTTACCTTGAATTCATTTTCCTTGTCCTTAGTCCCTTTGTGAAACGGCCGGTCATATCGGAATCGCCAGATGTGATTTACTTTGTAAAAGCTCTTGATGTTATCGGGAATGCCATCTCTCTGCAGGACTTCCTGATTTTCTGGAATTGGTGTCACTGCATAAATCTGCAAATCTATATGTAAAGAGTTAAGGCTATCCCATTTCATTCAAATCAGCAAAGCATATTGACTCCTGAAGCATGACAGAAGACAAACTCTTGAAAAAGAGTGTATCATGAAATGCTTCTAGACTATTAATGGCTTGGGAAAGGAACTGGACAGATTTTTTGATGGTTTGGGATTTCTTTGTATTGTTTTGTTGAAAATTTCATATTTCTTTTTGAAATAGAATTACTTACACAGAATAGTACGTGGAGTAAAGGGATTTAATTAAATATATTCTCACCCACAGTATGTCGTGCCATGCTAACATTATGCTAAATTCTAAGAACTTGAATTACTATAACTTGAACTGATACACCATTATCACAGCGGTGATAGTTCTCCAAGTATTTTTGGCTAAAGTAAGAATATTAATAACCTGCCCAGGAATTTTTAAATAAAACCAACAATTCCACAAAAAAATTTCCAAACATAATAGAGTGACTGGGAGAAATTGCAGGGGAATTCTCACCTACCATTTATTTCAGTGGAGGCACATAGTGATTAACATTGGCTATAGGTGTACCTACATTTTTTAAAAGCATGAAAGATGTAACTGCAGTGGAGGGGTTTGTGATTCTGTGGATACATTGTGCTTCTGCCTGAAAGATGGTCTCGTCTGGCTGATTAGCATGTTGCATAGCAATAGCATGTGGGAACTCATTCAACATTCGCTGCTGGAAGGCCTCCAGCCTTTCATAGTCATGTCCTCGGCAAACAAATTCCTTATTCTGGGAAGAAAAAAAAACAAAACCAAGAGCAAGTTATGTGAAAATAATTGGGTATGATTAGAGAGATCCAAACACATGCTCTTAAGTATAGACTTTCTGGGCAATTTTTACATCATTTTAAGAAGGAAAAAATAAGAAACAAAAGGCAAGAATGAAAATAAGAAATCTAGAAAGAACAGGTTACTGAGAAGAAGGAAATTTTACCATATAAAGTATGTTTTATTTAAAAGCCTAGAAAAATCGAATGATTATACTTAAAGCTTTAACAAAAATGTGAAGGGAGAAATTGTTCTTAATGGTTTACAGTATGTAACTAATATATCAGGGCATGTAAAACATGTAACAAAAATATAATGCAACAGACAGTTAAGACAATGAAATGCGCTGGAAGTCCTTTCCATGAGGAACTAGGAAACTTTGCTTCGAAGTTATACAATTCTGAAGAAAAACAATGCATAAGAAAATGGTAGAATGCATTCTGTTTGCCATATCCTCTAGATGTTTATCAGTTATCAGCCCAGTAAATTAAAATCATCCAGTTTTTGCAATATGAAGTAAAAGAATACTCCTAGCTCCAACATAATTTCTTTTACCTGGATGCCCACTATGAAGTCGCACTATGATTTTCCTGAGATGATTGTGCAACATGAACACAGATGCAACAGACATCCTACATTAAAGATGAGATGCTTGGATTTGGAGTACCCGTTGGAACTAGTCACTGACCGAGGTGGGGCTGAGGGCTTCCTGTAGCTGTGGGACAGCACTTTTTGGTTTGATTCTGCTTGCATAGACGTTTGAAAGAAGGAAATATCTTAACCCTTTTTCTAAAAGCACTGTTAAATGAATCTCCTTTTCAAATCTATATTAGAAAATTCTAAAAAGTCATTACTAATGTGTTCCTCTTGGAGGTTTAGATAGAAACAGTTGTTGTCCTTATAGTGTCTTGACAATAGAGACAGGAAGCATTGCATTCCAAGAGCCTGGATTTTCAGTTGCTACAAGAAATCAACCGCAATAGTGTTAGTTACCGTGCAACTACAAATTAAAATGTGAAAGCTTTATTCTGAAGCTTTAATCTTTATTCCTTCCACAGCAAACACAGCCAGACTTATAAACTGCTTTGCCACAAAAAAATTAAATCAAATGTAGTAAGTTTTGAGGCGCTCCTTGTTGGTGCTGCAAGCATAAATCTGCGCTATGTACATTTAACTTGGACAATGCATACATACTTCCTAATTAGTGAAAGACCTACAGGTCTGAAAGTACTGCACTATTGGGCAACTTGGTCCACTACTTTTATTTCATCAGTTGACATTTAGTAATCTAAACATTAAATTCTTTCTAATTAACATTTTCAAACTGGTTTATACAGATGTTATATTCCAAATATCAAAACCTATGTACCCATCAGACTCATTTGTGCATCGCATTTGAAGGGGAGAGTTTCATGCTGTATTCATGATTTGGAATTTTTCATTTTCCCCACCACAAAGGCAAAGAAAGATCAGGCTTTTTTAGGCATCCACCATACAGAGGAGGTTCCTTCATCACTTATTTGAATTACTATAGGAAGAGGAGCTTGGATTACGATTGCAGCAGCTCCATGAATAAACCACTGCAGACTGTAGAAGAGGGGAACAGCATAAACAGGACTAACATTTTCAAGTGCACTTCAGTAACTTCAGAATCCAAGATTAACGTTCAAGAGTAACTTTATGTATCTTGTCAGCTTTAGTACATTGATATCCAATGAAAGTCAGCATGTTGAATTTCTAAGTCACTTAGAATAAAAATGGAATTTGGGAATGTGATTACTTAAATGCTAAATTACCGATTGTCTCACTGCCAAGGGATACTTCTTCTGACAGCCACCTTCTGAGCAGCCACCAGCAGAAACAGAACAGGATAAAGGGAACAAACTACCATGAAAAGAAGATTTTGGTCTGTGGAATAGTATAGGTGCATGGTTTCCAACATAAACGTGAATATTAAGTTTATGTGGGACTCTGGAAGCCTTTCCATTAGACAGGACCTTTTCTTAACCCTGAAAACATGAGGATATCTCATTAATTACCAGAAAGAATTCCCTTCTATATGGTATGATCAAATTCTGACACAGAGAAAGTGATTATGAATGACAGCATGAATTCCAGATTTATTCCATTCTGTTTATTTTCAATTCACTTACCCTCAAGAAGAATGGGAACTTTTTCCCATAGAATCCAACTCTGAAAAATTCTGGCTCCAAACGCTGTTGATCCATAATTTTATCATACAAAGATGCTTCCATCATCTGGGTGAGATTGATAAGAAATACAATTAGTCTTTTTTGGAAATATATTTTTACCTTAAGCTATCACAGAAGGGAAGGTCTTTTAGCACACTGCTCTGGAGTACTGGAATTGCAGAGCATGTCTGAACAACAATAAGGACATCCAGAAGTCTGAATGCATCAGATTAAGTAATCATACCTCTTAGTGACCTGAAAGTTTCCAAGAATTAAAAAAAATTTGCTTTTAAATATGAAGTACCTATACCAAAGGGGTAGAATATTAGATTAATGACAACATGCATAGATCTGTAATGAAAAATGGAAGTAATAGAAATGCAGTTTGAAACATATGACCCAGTCATCTGCTAATCATCCAAACACATGGCAGTAATATGGTCAGTTTAGTCAGCAAAGTCCAATTTTCATATTCAAAAGAGTCATGCCCAAATCATACCAGATTCCAAAGATTTAAGCATCAAATGTGAGTTCCTTTAAAAATCTCACAATAGCAATTAACGTCATTCTTGATCTATACATTCTACTTTTATTTCACTCAAAACAGACACAAAGTGATCTTAATGTCAAAGTTCCCTTTTTCTGATGATATTTCAGCAAAGCATTCCCTATCCTTAAGTTTTTAATACTGTGAAAAAAAACCAAACAGTATTAGCTCTGTTTTAGGTAATGCAGACAGGTATTTAATGTGCATACGATATCAACAGCTGCCTAGTTCTATTGCTATAAGAAATCCCCGCACCTCCATTTTTGGATTAACACAGGTGGCAGAGATGTAGTAGAAGGATATTTCCCAATTCAAACGTGAAATGCATTAAGTACAATTAATTAAACATGCAGAAACTAATTCTTTTATTCATATGATGATAGTCGGTTTGCTTTTGCTTATAGGATTCTGCCATTGGGATATCTAAATATACATGGAATAAGCAGATCACAGGGAGTACTGCCACATAGATCTGTGTTGTGAATTTTGTGTAATGCTGTTAAGCAGCTCTGGATTAAGTTTACTTCAGTCAGTCCTAGAAGCAAGCATCCTGCACGTACAGAAAATTTAAAAAGGAAGCTGTAATATAAAATCGAATCTATCAGAAGCAGACGAGAAAAGGGAAGACTGAATAATCTTTGAAATAGAGTATCAGAAAGAATGAAGAAACAAACGATGCTTAGAGTTCCAAGAAAAATGAGAGAGAGAGCAGGAAGACCGTGCCAGGAAAGATTCATTTTGGCTATATGATATTAAACAGACCGTATTTTCGAGCAGTAAACAAAAAAAACTGCAAAGGTGTACGTTGCTTGTTGCAAGCTGTTTGCTCGCAATGACAACTGCAAAGATACGTTGCTGCTCCTAGCGAAGGACTGCATAGAGCACATTCCCTGGATAAACCATAGGAAACCATGAAATGGAATTTGTAATGTCATTTTTCTGCATAAGCGTGCACACAAAAGGGGGGCTGTACAGGCACAAACATTGCAAGATCATTTATTTTCCCATTTTTCTTGAAAAAGCTCACACTCTTTTATAATCTTTATTGCAGAAAAAAACCTCACAAGCTAAAAAATAGTTTGCAAACCAAACCTAAGGACCATTCTGTGGCAAATTTAATTTTCTAAGTAATATTTTATAACCCAAACTAAAAAGCTTTTGGATCTCCGATTGATGAAAAGTACTCAGGTACGTTACCCTCATCTTGCTGAGGTTTCTGTAGTCATAGTAGCTCTCATACTGTTCTGCAATTTTCCTGCACAAGATAATGCCATTTTCCCAACACTGCAAGCAAGTAAAAGATGTTCAGTAATTTCAAAGCAACTCTCTGACAATTCGTGATTTATTAGTGGTCTGTTCTTTCTCTACTAAGTTGTACTTCCAGGAACTGAAAATACTTGACATATTGTCCACTAGACATACTGATAGCTGCTGAGTAACACTGATGAATTCTTTGAAGGATATAAAATATATTTAGAGACTTACTTATTTAGTGATTCTTACAGGACTATCACTGCACAAGATATATAAATCACTGCAAGAGTGACAGACATCTCTTTTCATACTAGGTATGAGATTGATTCAACACAGTATGAGTTTTAAATTTTAAAACTGTATTCTTAACATATCCTCCTTAATTTTTGTAGATTGGAAAACAATTTATTGCACCATGTAAGGTAAACTCTATAAGCTGATTACAGAATTTTTTGAAAAAATATTTGATTACATTTACTAGGCTTACACAGATATTACACCAGCTACACAAAATGGCAATGAATTACTTGTTTATCAGCAAGACAAATCATCGCACAAAGCGTATATAAAATATTAGACTACAGAATAATTACTCTTGCTTAATTCAGAATAAGCATTCTCCGTGATGAAAATGAACTGTGATCCCTAAAACCCATTCCTTTTTAGAGATTCTGCAATTGCTATTCTAAAAGCTACAACATGATTTAGAAGGTGTACACATAGTCCTTATAATCCAAGACCGCTGAATTTTTTTCCTTACTTGGTCACTAAGTGAATTTCATCAGCTTTATATGGCTCATTTTCACGTTTCAAATGGGGAGAAATGATGCTATCTTTTATAAAGTGCTTTAACAGTTACAGAGCGAATTGCTACACAAGTGCAAATTATTCTCACATGTAAGTGTGGGATTTCTAGGCTACAAACTCAGGATTAGAAGAAACTCACTGTCTCGCTAAGTAACCGCTTAATCAGCAATGACAAACACTTCCCCTCTATATGAGAAAAGGCTGCAACCCGGGAAGTAACGTCCCAGAACGAATACATTATCCTTTCCAGATCCAGTCAGTAAAATAGAACCATGTTACCTTTCCCCTATCAAAGTTCTGAATGATGGTCAGATGGAGGCATTCTTTACGTTGCCACTCTGTTTGCATGGGGTAGTTGAGAAATTCTCTGAGCGGCCGATCAGACCACTCCAACAGCTCATCGTACAGCAGGAGCGTGTAGGCAGCCTCTGCAAGAGAAATTATAGCGTGGTACTTAGGAACACCAAACAAATAAAATAGCCAAAGTACATAGAAATGTGAATGCTCTTGATGAGATTCACCTTTTTAATGGGGAACTAATTTATTTCAAGTGTAAGACAGATGGTGGTGCTGGTTTTGGATAGAGTTACAGCTATAATAAATTCTGCTTACGATTTTCACATGCTATTGAAACTGGAGTCACTGGGACAGTTTTCCTGGAGTCTGACAATACAAAAGGGACAGAGAAATGAAGAAACAATTTCCTGCTTAGCCTTAGTCTTTCCTGCTGCTAAGGAGAAACTCTGAATGGCTCTGCTGTCTGAACAAGGACCGGAGGATGAGGAACATGAGCAGAGGAAGAGGAAAGAAGACAGACAGGTCTGTGGAGACAGTCCAAGAGATCAGGGCTGGGAGGGAAATGGAGAGGCAGATGTGTGCTTAAGAGACTCCATTCTTTCCATAGAGAAGTCAATCTCTCATAGCTGAGCCTTAACACTCTACCATCGCAAATAATTTAGAAATGCACACACAAAATCTTTTTGTTTTGTTTATTTTTAAGTTTGGAAGGAATCAAACCTATTGTTGCTCTCTAGCCAGACAACTGTGTAGTCATCTTTAGATCGTGGTTCGTAGAAGTTATCTGGGAATATCAAAATTAATATTATTTTTACTTTGATTTAAAGAATTCCTCAGAAACAGTACACTAAAACTAATATTAAACGAATCTCTCTATTGCAAAGTCAGACTTTGGCCAATTACGAAACACTGGAATTCCTACTGGTCATGACAGTTTAATCTGGCTAACTGTGCATATGCATTACGGTTTTCCAAGTCCGTGTTCACAGTCTGTTTTTCCACGCACAGGACCACTTGGGCCACGTTCTGGAGATGTACTGCATTGGAGAAAAAAATTGCCTACTGGACTTATTTCATTGCAGGTTTTATAGGTCGCGCATAATATAAAGTACTAAAGTACTTTTTATCCTAAGGTAAGTCTGCCCCAGACGACCATATCCGACTTCTGCCTCTGCCATATGAGTTCCCATAAGACAGGCGACTTAAACCAAACAGAGTTTTTTCTAACAGTAGTGTTCCTCTTACACATCCAGCTTAAGAACCTGTGGATGAAAAACCATCACTGCAGCAGGTATTTGTGGGAGAGTGGGCTTTGAATCGCAGTCTTGTAAAATGCAACATGCATGGTGCAAAAATGATGCTGCACTGCAATATGTACATGCAAGGGAGACCGGCTGAAGTTACAGAGACAATCTTAATTGCAGCTTTCAGGCTGCTTGATTGGTAACAACCTTTGTCATAGTTTCAAGCTACGGTTTGATACTCAAAAGATGCAGTATGTTTATATACCAATTTACAAAAATCCATGAGTTGATAACAACAAATCATTCAAAAATCATAAGGAAGCAAAAGACGGCAGAGCATAAATACATGTCAGGATAGCTCACTACGACCCTTCCTTTCTAACCTGGCATTCAAGTCCTTCGTTTTAACAAATTTTTGTCTGCCGCACCAGTATTTTTTTTTAAGTTATCATAAAAGTATATAGAAGGTTTCTAAAATAAGAATGGTCACACTGGACAAAAGGTCCGAAGGGTCTCTCTGCCCAGCATCTGCCTGGCCATGGCCAGTACACCCAGTAACATACTGGTACCTCTGGGAGAGGTCTGGAACTATTGGCTGTGCACCAAAACAGTAAGGAGAGATAAACAGGGTTGATTCACGGTGATGTGGGAAATTCAATTTATACAGGAAAGATTCAAAACCCGAAATATTCCTAAGATGGATAGATACAAAGATAATCTCATTGTATTTCTCAGGTGACTGAGGGGACACAAGAGGAGTCAGTGCATTTCTGTGCTTCAGCCTCAAGAGAGTTATATTTATAGCTGCAATTAAGTGCTGTGTAAAGAAAGATTTGAAGCTATGTTTTGTATTAAAAATTACTTTTTTTTTTTTCCCCAGAGGATTATTAGAAACAGTCCTGTAAATCATACTATGAAAGGAGAGAAAAATTATTTTAAGGGCAAGCTGGCTTCATCCCTAGAATGAAACTACGCAGTTAGCGAACAAAGGGTGCAACATGTAGGAATG